TGAATACTGGCATGTCCGTGATATGTATAACACGACATAACGCGTATCATTGAGTTCATTTCTTGATATACCGACATTGTGATAGGTGCCCCCCCCCCTTCCAACTACATTTTCACCACAATTTCCTTTTCAGCTTTAAGCACGAATGGATCCCAAATGAAGACCTCGTTTGGGGATCATGCGTTCCTACCGATGAAACGAGTTTTATCCCGTCTCATCTAAACTCATATGTTCTGGTTAGCTGTATTGAAGATGGGCAAAAGAGAGGTGATATCGTACTGTAAATTAGCCTGACCTCTGAGAATGAACAGAAAACCACCAAGGTCGAGAAATGAAATCCTGCTTTGCACTGTCTTGACTGTCTTGAAGAGCATGCATCAGCTTTCTCTCCATCCATGGAAGAGATTCACAGCTTATTTAATCTGGTTTAAAACTAATATGAAATGAAATGTTTGTAGTTCCCATGTACCGGAGGTAACTCAAGCGATGGCATGAATTGATGTTCGAGAAAACGATCGAAGTCTACATTCTGATAGGCTCAAGGCATTTCAGAAATCAACAAGTAAATATTTGGCTGTTGGGCTCAAAGCATTTTCACCATCAATAAGTCAATATCTAGTTTGTAACAGGAGTTGTTAGAAAGTTTTACTCCACCTCCATACCTACAAATGCGACTGCGCCTACCAATTATCACTGTACCCTGAGCAGATGTCGTAAGCGCGGTGCATCCCAAATATAATTATAAATATCGTTTTTCCCCCACTTTCAAACCACATAAAAACAAAGTATTGGATCGAGTTACAAAAATGAGGCGATACTGTGATCTGTTCAAAAGGTTATTTTGTTGCCAGATCTACTCTGGGGCACCGCCTCCCGTCCTCTTCCCTTTGGATGGAGCTTTATCAAGCAAGCAGCCACAATAATTAATTACCGGGAATATTAGTCGTACTAATTTTTTTCCATTATGTGGACCCCGTGGAACAAAAAAAGACGTACCAGACCGACAAAAATGCAAAACAGCTGTACGACGTCAGTATATGCGACAGCGTAGAGACCACCAGTAAAGGTGTAGAAGACGGCGATCAGGGCAGAAATTATCACTGACATATTCATATCGATTTGAAGAATCACCGACAGTGTTGCTCCTTAAATAGTTGCAAATTACAGCAGAACAAAAATCGTTTATATGGTACGGTAGAATATACCCGACCCGAAGTGGGCGATCTGTGAAACGTTCGCGCAAAAGGCTACCGTCTAGATATATGATGTTCAGATTTCTCGAAAGCCCACGGCTCATTCCGATAGTCGATAGTGACTAGCTATTTTACTTACTCTGTTACCTGTAATGAGGTACATATTCGGTGAAAATCATTTTCGCCCTCTCGTTTGCCTTTTTTACAAAACGAGATCCCAGCTGACCAACTCCTCGGTTTGTCATCTTCTACAGCATTGTATAAGAGTTCATCCACTTCCGCTCGTCAACTCCCTCTGGCTCCTAGNCCACAACGAAACACAGCCTTCATATCTCGTTAAACAGTAGTATGGGATGTCGGTCTCAGCGTGAAGGTTATGTTGCACACGGTTTCGTAATTACCTTCATAACCACTAAAAGTGCATATGGCCATTTTTCAATATGTCACATATGTGACTAATTCTTCTTGGCATTTTACGACCTCCTTTTAACCGAGTATGCTCCCATTCGCAAAACTCGTGGTCTGCAAGATCTGCTTTTCCAACGTCCCTGTTCCTCTTCCCCCGAATCCATTTTCACCCCATATCTGCTCATATAGGAAAACGTCCCTCACTGGATAGAAGACGATAAGTGCCGTCGTTTGTCAACTTGTCAGATGTGGATCACTTGCTCGCGGCGATCCGCCAATGACAATCGTGTCAGAGCCCTTCATCTCTGAACCCTGGATCCGACGCCCATTCCAAGCGGTGCCCATCAGCGCGGCAATCGAGTTCTGGTGGGATTGACAACGGCAATGGCAGCTTTAACCCCACCCCATTACTTCTGGACATCTTTTGGGCAATTGAGCATTGTCACGTTTGTTACACGAACGTAGGGGTAAAGAAAGATTTTCTGGCCTCGAATCCTACTTTCGTGGCTGAAGCGGTGGGGTGTCAGACGGCGCTAATAGTACCGAATTGATCAACTAACCAAGAGCTGATAGAATTGCAGCACTCCAGAACACTTCACCGAGTAGAGCTGGCAGAAACATCAGACCTCCTACACGTTGGCCATATTTGATCTGAAACCACTCGTATAGGTTTTTCCCATGTATGAAGGTTAAGTTTTACTACTTTGTAACATCTGCATACCTGGAAGGGATCGAGCATTGTGACGTACCCCTCTTCTCTCATCTTCTTAGCGAACAGCAAACCTCCCATTACTAGTGAGAGAGCATAGCCGATTGGAGCTTGGCATCCCAAAAGGCCGCCGTTGTACAGCGCTTCTGCCGTACCATTGATATAGGCCCCTCCGACCCAAGTCGCTGAAAGCGGAGGCATAATTTAAAAAATTCATCATAAATTACTTATGCTAGAGCCTCAGTATTTTTTGGGGTTATAAATGACTTCTTAATAACTCGATCGGCTACGGAGATTACGCCGTCAACATAGCATAAGCATATTCGCATACTTTCAGTCTACTAATACCTCAGCCTAATTCAACGTATGTTGATAGAACAGTCCCTGATACACACAAGTGCAAAGGAGGATCCAGAGTACGAGCCCTGTCAGCGAATGAAAATCAGGTATGCTCACGCAAAGGAATCGAAGACCAGATGAGCCGGAACGTCATGCAATTTTGTGATGGCCCTTGGACCAGAGCGGACACTGAATGGATTCTTCGAGGCGTCAAACTAGCACCAGGACAAGTCAGACTTCATAATGAGAGCTCTCAATAAAAAGTATGGTATGCCTCGCATCCTTCAAGGGGTTCTGTCGCTCCTGATGAGGCAGAAAATGTAGCAAAATCCCAAATAAACACTCAAATACCACTATAAAAATATTAGAGATGATTTATTATTTCGTCAACGTCTTCATGTCCACGACATCGCTATGAGCACCATCATACTAACACAGGAACACAAAGTGGCTGATCGCCAAGTTTTATCAAGAGTTTCCTAGCACCCCTTAATTGACGTTAGAAGCAGGCTCGAAAAATTCAATTATTTGGCCCACTTTTTACGAATTCTCGAGACCACTTTCAAAATTCTGATGTGTAGAGAAAAACAGTGATGAGAGCGCCATTGTAAAGTTTAGTAAAATGGTCATGGTGGAAATGTTTTCTTAATTGATCCTTTCTCAAATAATCAACTGAACTTATAGTTACGTCGGTGCAAATGCAAGCTCAACCCTCAAGTAATGAATCGGACTTGGTGCAGGCGAATTGAAGCACTGACGATGTTGGGTGCAACCACTTTTCTTTTGCATGCTAGTCACCTGGTGTATTCATAGTGGCCTCGTGCAATTGACAAGTAGAACTTTTATTTCTTTTTTTTACCAACTTTGTTTCCCTTCTTCACTAATACTCACTTTTGGTCCTCGTGTTGTGGTTCCCATGAGCCCCTAAATCTGATGATCATCTGCTACTCATACATTCTCCATGAGAAACGAGTTTTCCATTTTCACCAGAATCCCATGGGAGCATTAGTAATTAAACTGGGTGAAAAACCTGATGACGGAGCAATTTCAAGCCTTGCATTGCTATGGCGGAGCGTTCAGAAACTGCTGACCTCCCTCCCGTGAGATCTCATCATTCAGGAACCGTTAGGTTCCATCTTACGAGACTCGAATGGGTATTGCATGGTTTCCGATGTATGAAGACCAGTAAAGTGATCTACCATTTCCACTTACTTTTGAGTAGAATTTTCTGAGTGCAAACCTTCAATCACAAAGCTCGACCACTCGCTCTCTCGTCTAACCAATGGAACGTACTGGAAAGTAGTTCTTGACCGTTCACGTTACGATTAGGTTTACTCGAAATCTATCTTAAGCACCCGACCTGAACTTGTACCTTTCTTAAGCTGACATCTCATTAGTTCATTCTGAATTCTATCAATGGATGTAATAAGGGGCAATCAAGAGCCTCATACCGAATTACTGAATCGAAAGCAGCCTTGAACAAAAAATAGCAGCCCAATTCAAAGCGTCCATGGGTGAGGCCTACTCCATGCTCACGTGGAAGCACTAGCGAATGCATCGCTCATCTCAAACGATCCGGCCACCTCAGAAAATTCCAGTGCCAGCGCCTGCAATTGAAAGGTACCCTTGAGTGGCCGTGCTTAACAACCTTGCGCGAATTCACTTATTCAACTGAGGAAGCGTAAGCAAGCTGCACACATGGAGTCGTTTCCGTGGTGTTGCTGGCCCTTTATGGATTGAGCCGAGCTTGTACGTGAAGGAATCTGAGGATGCTGTCTACTCGGATAACGAATTTCGCTCTTGACGTCACCAGGCGCTGACATAGGGAGGACAAACAAAATTTGTAGTTATCCTAACAGCGCGGGCGGTGTTGGTCCCGTGGTCACATACTGATGTGGCCTGATATGGTTAGGCTTGCTACTGGTCAGATGCTAGCAAGAACGGGAATAGAGCAGGCAAAACATCTGTGGGTGACGAATGTAATTTTGTCTGAGCACAAAGTGGAAAATGGTTCTAGAACTTCCATGACAGAACCACTTTCTCCTTTGGACCTTGAACCATATCCCGTATTGTTAGAGGCATACTCCAAGGAGTTTATTATAACATAACCTCAATCTGGTAAACACTTCTTAGGAAGTTATCGGATGCGGCGTAAGACACAGTGGCGGGTTAGCAACGAGATACATACGTCTTCAAATTAATTGAGTGGTACCTATGAGCAGGTTATCCCACCTTTCCGCTTTTTTCCTAGTGACCATGTCAGTCAGGGTCTCAGCAGTCAGTGCTTGTTTTACCTTCTGCGATCTCTCTCACTATACCGTCGCTGCCTCCCTGCTCCAAAACTGCAGAATGCAGACGGAGAAGTCCATCAAAGATTGGGCAGCCTAATATGGATTCGAACCGGCGTCAGTACTTTTCCTGGTGCCCAAGGTACAAGAACGCATGCACAAGCAATTAGAAAAAAAAATCAAATAAATCCGATTCCTTCATCGGTGGCTTATATATTACCGGGGTTCACAATAAGAGCAGTCGTTTTTGCGGAATTTGCGAGCGACAGGGTGCCCAATCACGTGAGAATCTCCAGCCGACAGCTGTGATGCTTTTGCTCTTTCACGGCGAAAATGAATGGATTTCGCAGCGGATTCGAGGCTGATTTCTTACTGCTGTACGGCTACAAATCGGAGCAATGTCTGGTATCACGATTCTAGACTTTTCCGATTCTTTCATAGCAAGATTTTTCCAGAACGTGCTGCATTCAACCAGAACCTGAAAGCCATCCAGCGGGGAGTAATGGATATGACCGCAAGTGAGGTTTTGCATATGGGTATCCATCTGAACTTCTTAATAAAGATAAAGGATAAAGTTCTTAGTGGCAGTCAATCCCGTTTATGGGATGTGCCTCCACATTCTAATTCCATTCAGAATCTTAGTGATACGAATGCAATGTGTCCTGCTATGGGCAGCGAATATCAAAGTCAGCACTTTTACCCCCTTAGATGGACATGGGCCAAACTAACCAACCCCTGAGAGCTGGAAGGCTTGATTGTCGCTCGAACCGCAGACCATCCTTGTGTGATAGTGAGCCACTTGCCACTACACCTCAACCTCTTGAGATAAGAATAGTTTTCGGTCTGGAACCTTCCAATCGGCATTGCCATTCCAGTCTTCATGCCTTTATAAGCTATTTTCGACTATTGGAACAAGGTTTTGCATATCTTCTCCTTAATCGGAGGGCCACAATTTCCATGAGCTATCGACGGGGCCAAGTCATCCGAAGCCGTAATTACTGGTTGCTCACGTTAATGGTAGCTTATGACCCATGAAATCGTGTTTTTGTCGACTCTGACTGGCTTTTTTCATCACAAAACTAGCGTCCAAATCTATATGTACGTGGAAATGAATGAAGAAGACGGAGTAATCCAGCGATGAACCACTTACGGCGAGTCTAAATGCTCACAGTTCGTTCAAATTGGGTGGGAACTTGGTTACGAATGAGATATATTTATGTACGATTGAGGCCACTTCGCGTCTAGGTGTGGAGTGACCTCAATCGGACCTGAACCTATCTTAGTTATGCGTCTCTCCTCAATTGTACTCCTCATCTTAGTTATGAGGGTGACGGCTAGTGCTGAAAATTTTGAGAAAGTGAAACTTCAAGAGAGCTAGTTTTTTACGTAAAATTTTCATCGCCTTTTTTTAAAATACCTCACTACCTTACTGTGTTGAGATTTCCCTTACTCTGTAAGGGAAATCTCAACACAATTTGGATGCGATTTGCTCCTCTCTGATGACCTTTGATGAATCTGAGAGGAAAAGAATCAGTGTAAACGCATACTGATAGCTGGAATACGTAATGAAAGGATCGCGATGGAAAGCGACTTGATGACTGGGAGCCCGTATTGTGAGGAACCATCCAAAGCGGTATTGATTCTCACGAAAGATTTCGTAACTATGCTTGTAAGAGAACAAAAGTGCTCTGTAGAAAAATAGCCGATGCTTCAGGGTTGCGAAGTGCCTTCTAAACTGATAATACATCTGCTATCCATCGCAAACCAAAATGAGGTTAAGTACGATTGAGGTCACTTTGCACCTAGACGCGAAGTATCTCAGTCGTGTCTGAATTTACCTGTCGTACCCACGTTGGCCCACCGTTCGAATGGCCATACTCCTGCACAATTTGCATTTAAAGCAAGATAAACTTTTTTTTCGGCTGAATGTGAGACCACGTAAGGCGAGTAAGGCGATGACCACTTGTGGATGTGTCCGATTCACTACAAAACGCATTTCTACCATTCCTATGCACAGAGTAATGTATGCTAAGTCAAAATGGAGGTTGGGGACCTCATTTATTTTCGTCAACCAAATAAAAATTAGGAGCATGGCCTGTGAAATGAGCTTATTGTTCGGTGCGTTCCATTCTGCGAAAATGACTGGCTTGTATGCACCGGTGGTAGTGTATCCATGACTCCCCATCACGCTTGAATTGAAAAGCAGTGGTAGCGTCACAGCCGAGGACGACACGTACACATGAGCCAAGGGAACTTCCTGCTCTGATATGGTCAATAGCTCAGAGGCAGGAAAGGAGAACCGAGCGACTGTTCAGCCGAATGCACGAAAAACCGAATCCATTCACGCTGACCAAAGTTCCAATCCTAGTAGATCTAGCGACACTGATCAAATAGGCATACAACAAAGGCCAAAAGGATTTTTCTAATCCAAATGACTGATAACGGTGAGTAGAAGCTATCATCTGACTTCTGAAATTTAATTTGTACCCATTTACTAAATCCCAATTGATTTTTTCTCATACTGAAGCTATTTATTTAAACTGTATCAAAAGAGTTACCCCCGATTCTTACACA